GTCCGTCCGTCCGTCCGTCCGTCCATCCATCCATCCATCCAATCATCCGCCCATCCATCCATCCATCCATACATCTATCCATACATACATCCATACATCTGTCCGTCCATCCATCCATCTATCCCTCTGTCAGTCCGTCCATCCATCTGCCTGTCCGTCCGTCAGTCTGCCCATTCATCCGGCCGTCCATCCATCCATCCATCCGCCTGTCCGTCCCTCCCTCCGTCCATCCATCTGTCCATCTATCAGCCCGTCCATCCATCCATCCATCCACCCGTTCATCCATCCATCCATATATCCCTCCATCCGCACGTCCATCCATCCATCCATCTGTCTGTCCATCCGTTCATCCATCCATCCATATATCCCTCCATCCCTCCGTCCATCTCTCCGTCCATCCGTCCGTCCATCCGTCCGTCCGTCCGTCTGTCTGTCTCACCGGCAGGGCAGATCGGCCAGCAGACGCAGCCATACGCTCCATGTTCTCCATGGGCCTGAACATTCTGATCTTGCCGTCCACACAGCGGTACGCCTTCATACCCTCGAACAGCTGTGAACACAGATTTAGTTGGGTTTTTATAAAAAAAAACTTTATTCAGTGTTTTACGGCACTTACAACACAATAAGGCCATATCAGTGCCGAAGATTGGAGGTGTTACAAGAGAGTAACAAACACAAAAAAAGAATGAGGGGAGATAAAGAAGAAAGACGGTTGATAGGAAAGAAGAAGCAAACCACACCAGAGCACCCGCCAACCACCCACACAGATTAAGTTTGAATAAGTGTTTTACAGAGCATTCAGCATAAATAGGTCAGATAAGTGCTGAAGAGTAAGGTTTGATTGACTGATTGATTGACTGATTGATTGATTGATTGATTGATTGATTGATTGATAGGCTGATGATTGATTGATTGATTGATTGATAGGCTGATGATTGATTGATTGATTGACTAACAGCAGGGTTTAGCGGCAGGGTGGATTAAGAAGGGGCTCTACTGGTCACTAAGTGATACATTGATTAGTTCATTGCTTGATGGCTTGATTGACTGATTGATTGACTGATTAATGAACAAACCAATCCATTGATCTGATCGCCTATTCCTCATCCTGACAACTCCCCTTACAGGCGTGATGCACTTTAGTAGCTGGGAGGATTTTATAGGGGTTCAACTCGTCATTGATTGATTGATTGGTTGATTGAATGAATGATCAATTGATCAATTGATTGACCGATCTGAGGTGAACCCTCATCCTAACACTCACTTCACAGGCGTAGTGCAGCACTTTAGCAGCTGGGTGGATCCGCTGCGGCCCCACTAGACCTTGGTTGATTGATTGATTGATTGATTGATTGATTGATTGATTGGTTGGTTGGTTGATCGATTGACCGATCTGAGGTGAACCCTCACCCTAAAAGACTAACAACTCACCTCACAGGCGTAGTGCAGCACTTTAGCAGCTGGGTGGATCCGCAGCGGCTCCACTGGCCTGATGACCGGAGCTGACCAGCCATGTTTCTCCGTCCAGTCCACCTCCAGCAGGTGGTCACTGGTGTGCGCGCCAAACTTGAGCTTGTCGTTGTCCGGCTTGACCGACGGCGTGTTGGTCAGTCGGATCTGGAGCTCGTCCGCCTGGGGGGGGGGGGTGGTTGGTTGGTGGGGAAGATGAAAAACGTGGTTGATAAGAAAGAGTGGTTGGTGGGGAAGAATAAAAACGTGGTTGACAAGAAAGAGTGGTTGTTTTAGTTTTAGTAAGAGTTTTACGGCACTTGCAACACAAAAGGGGCATATAAGAGCAGAAGATTAGAGGCAGAGGTGTTATTAGAGAGTAACAAACACAAAAAAGAAGGAGGAGAGATAAAGACGATAGTTGTTTGATTGGAAAAGGGGAGCAAACCACACCAGAGCACCCGCAAACCACCCACAAAGAGTGGTTGGCGGGGAAGATGGAAAAAGTAAGTTCGTGGGGAAGAAGATTTTTAAAATGGTTGGGGTGGGGGAGTGGTTGGTGGGGACGATTTAAAAAGTAAGTTGGAGGGGAAGATTTAAAAAGTAGGTGGGTGGGGAAGATTTAAAAGGTAAATTGGAGGGGTAGATTGAAAAAGTAGGTGGGTGGGGAAGATTCAAAAGGTAAGTTGGAGGGGAAGATTTAAAAAGCAGGTCGGTGGGGAAGATTTAAAAAGTAGTTGTTCTGAAAGGGTGGACGGTGGGTGGTTCGTTTGTTTGTTTATTTGGGTACAAGTTTTACGGTGCTATCGACTTGGTTTTGGTCATGTGGTTGGTACGGAAGAGTAAAAAAAGTGGTTGATAAGAAAGAGAGGTCGGTGGTTTGTTTGTTTGTTTGTTTGTTTGGGTAGGTGCTTTGCGGCACAATTGACTCAGTTTTGGTAACATGGTAGGTGAGGAAGAGTTTAAAAAAGCAGTTGATAGGAAAAAAAAACTGGCGGGTCTTTTTTTATATTTTCTATTGTTCTTTTTATTTTATGCTTGT